GGGGGGGGGGGAGGTGAGTGACCCCAGCCACCCAGGAACTGCCTTTGTCTTGTTGTGGGAGCGTTAGGGGGCTGCCTGGGGTCAGCAGGGGTGGAGGAGATGGAACCACTTCCTCTCCCACCCCTCAATTACTCACCACCCCAGCCCCGCTCTCCTCATGGCCCCGGGCCTCTGGGATTTATAGTAATAGGGCCCCACAGCCCACAGCCCAGAGGCTGCTCTCCCCACACCTCTGAGCCTTTGCTCACACGGGTACTCCTGCCTGGGATTCCCTTCCTCCTCTTGGCTCTGCTGAACACTGCTCGGTGCTCCCTGAATATCTCTGTTCATTGGTCTGTCCATTTGTCTATCCATCTGTTCACCGTCTACCCATCTATCTGCACTTCCCTCTATCCATCTGGCTGCCTCGCCTGCCCCTGGGTCTCCTAGTCTGATGTTTTTTCTCTCTTTGCCTCTGCCCCAGCTTTGGTCTTTCCCTCGGTGTCTGCCCCCCAGAAAGGGAAGGGATGTGCCCAAGGCCCCACAGTTAACAAGGGCAGAGTAAAACTTGAATCCAGGGCTACAGCTGCTTGTCTTGGGGTGGGTGAGCCTGGGTGCTCCCGAGGGTTGGGATGGACAGCACCAGCCTTGGTCAACAGTGTTAGCTCACCTGGGCACCGAATCCACGTTCCAGATGGAGACACCAAGGCTCAGAGAGGGAAGAGACTAGCCAAGGTCACATGTGAGTCCTGGTCTGGCAGGGGCTCCATCTGCCAGGCTCCTTGGCTCCCTGTGGCAGGGAGATGCTCCCTCCCCCCGCCTGGGGAGGGCTTGTGCCATTGCTGGCCCGGGGAATTTGTAGCTCAGGCTGTGGGCAGTGACGAGGTTATCTTTCCTTCCTGCTCTGGTCTGTTTGCCTCTTCAGTGGGGTGAGGGTAAGGGCAGGGCCAGGGTGGGAAGGAACTTTAACTGAGCAGCTACATGGTGCCAGAAACAATGCCAGGCAGGGCCACACTTGATCCCTGAAGCCACCGGTTCAGGAGGAGTCATTATAATCCTGCTTGGCTCAAGCACAGCCTGAGGCTCAGAGACTCAGAGAGGGGAAGGGACCCGCCCAGGGACTGACCCCAGGGGAATCCCGTGCTCCTCCCACCCTCCCAGAGCTGCTCCTCTGGGGATGAGGGAGGGCCTCCTGGGCCTGAGAAGTAGCTCCATCCAGCCCCTCCCAGGAGGATGCAGCCTGGGTCCTGTGGTTACAGCCCTGGAGCAGCTACATCACCCGTCATTCTCCCCTCTCCACACGGAGCCCCCAGCACAGGGCCTGCCTCGGAGCGGGCGCTCTGACCCCTCTGGGGACTCAGTGCGGGAGGGAAGAAGGAATGTGTGCCCCAGACCGCCTGGCCCCTACCGACAGCAGCCCCAGCACCAAGGGCCCCTCACCAGAAGCCCCTGGACTTCAGAGGCGGCCCTGCAGGAGGTGACGGGCCGCTGATGGAATCTCAGGCAGGGGGACAACAGGTGGCCTTCCTGGTACCCACGCTGGCAGCCCTTAGCAGCCCCAGACAGTCGGCTCGCGCTCCTAGTCTGTGCCACGTGTGCCCCCACGCGGTCCCTGTCACAGGGGTTGGCGTCCTGCGGGCACAGGGGAGCTGTGCCCACCTCGAGGCGGAGGGCAGTGTCCCCCCAGAAGGACACACATGCGCATCCGCCCCGCGGCACAGCCCCCCCACCAAACGCGCGAGAAAAGCAAACGAAGACGTATAGGTTTCTGCTCTATTAGAGGCGCAGGAGGGGGGAAATCAATGTTTAGTAAATGGGAAAAGAGAAAATCGTTCAGGAAAGACAGTCTATTTCCAAGCCGGAGAGGGCTTGGTAAACAGCACAGGCCATTGCGGGGGAAGCGGCGCAGCGCGGGCCATAAACTCCCGAGCCCCGCGCGCTAATGGGGGCCCGGCGCCCCCACGGCCAGGCCCGCGTCCCGACTGAGGGTGCACAGGGGCCGCCTCGTCCTCTTAAAGCCCCGGCCAGGCACCTTGCACCTTGTGGGCCGCGTTACTCCCCCCTAATTCCCTCCCTGGCTCCCCATTGCCCGTCCTGCCGCTGGGCCTCAGGGGCCTGCGTGTGAGACGGGGCAGGTCCTCTAGCCTCCCTCACGGGGTCCCTCGTGGCTCAGCCATCCTGACTGCCTGGGACCTGGCTGTTCCCAGGAGCGTCAGGGCTGGCTTCCTGGAGGAAGAGCGTTTGAACTGGGCCTTGGCTCTGGGGAGTTCTGCAGATTAAGAAGGGAAGGAAGAGTGACCTGGATGGGGCAAAGTTTCGGTCAGAGTTGCTTGGGAAGTGCCATGGGCTCTAAGGGAATGGAGTGCAGGCAGGGGTGGGGGGCTCTGTTTTAGAGGGGCTGGCTGAGGGAGGAGAGAGCTGGGATGGAGGAGTGGAACTGAAGTGGAGGTTGGTAGTTGGAGGGGTCTCAGCCCATCCCCTTGTCCCAAAAGAACAGGAAAAAATACAGCATCAGAGATGCTCCAGATGGGAGGCTGAAGTCAGAGTAGTTCCTGCTCTGGCTGCCCCCCACCCTTGGCAGCTGGACTGTTAGAACAGACCTGGAGGGATGGATGGGATGGTGCCCCACCTCTGCACCCCTGGAGGCTCCCTGGTCCATCGGTCCAGAGAGTGGGGGATGGAGCCTTTGTTCTCTCCATTCGTCAAGGCCCAGCAGGCTGCTCCAGGAAGTACTGAATTTTAGCTTAAGATGGATATCAGGACAGGAGTCTCCTTTATAAATGAATTATATTCTGTTTACTGTGTGTGTGTGTGTGTGTGCGTGTGTGTGTACCAGGTCGCGGTATGGATTTGAGGGGCATGCTCCCTCGGGTGGGCACGCATGTGTAGGAGTATGTGTGCAGGCAACTCTGACAAGAAGTTTGAAAGAGAAGACAAGATCCTCGAGGGTGAGGCAGGGAAGGGATGCAGGGAGGGGCAGCAGCTTTATTATGGTCGTTGCTATTGCTATTATATGGGTCCAGCACCTGTTACCTGCACTAAGCCCCTTCCAGGTGAATCAGCTTCTCAAGAGCATGTGAGGTTGTGAGGTCAGCTCTGTGATCATCCCCATTTGCTGAGGAAATGCAGACTCAGAGAGGTGAGGTGACCTGCCTGAGGTCACACAGCAGGATCCTGGAGCTAGAACTCCAGAGCATGGCTGGGACCTGAGATGATTTTTCCGAGAGAAAGCTGGGGATAGAGAGGAGAGGGTGGAGAGCAGGGGTTGAGGGATATGGGGGCTGGATCACTCCGAGGCATAGCACTGACATCTTGGTTGCTGTGAGCAGGAAAAAAAGCTGGAGAGGGAATGTGCCCAGGTGAATGGCCCAGCAGTGGGGGAAGCAGCTACACCCTAACCCCTCCATGGAACTTTGCAGCCCCACCTCCCAGCCAGGGTGCCAACTTCCATTCCATCCCCCCCACCTCTGCTTTCCCATCAGTACAACAGGGTGTCTGGACTGGGTTAGGAGAGTGGAGGGCTTTGGGGCTTCTCTGGGCTCTGACCTTCCAGAGCTCTGTTGTAGACACATGCATAAGTATATGGATACACGTTTTTGTGGGCAGTGCATGCCCAGAGGGAAGTGCAAGTGCAAAATGGGGTCCTTGCGTGGGTTCCAGTGTGTTCACATGGGGGGGCCTCTCAAGGTCCTGCTAGGTCAGCTCAGCCTGGTGAGAGGGGCAGGGAGTGGGCCTGAGCAGCCAATTGGGGCAGGTCAAGCCGGTGCCTGCATCCAGAGGTGGGGAGCAGGGATGGGGCCAGGGGCGGGAAGAGCAGGCAGAGGAGGCTCTTGGAGTTCAGGACTTAAACTTCCGCCCACCACACACAGCCGGTCCCATCCCCGCCCCCACTCTGGCCCCACTGCTCAGGGAAGCTACAAAGCAAACAGTTTTGCTCCAGCTAAGGCTGAGGGAGATGGAGACTGTGATAAGGGGACTGCAAAGTGCAGCCAGCCAGCCCTTAGGCTGGGCGAGGGAGGGGTGCAGAGGGAGGAGGGGGTTCACAGGAGGGGGCTGTGAGGAAGCCTGAGGAAGGAGGGGTGAGGGGAAAGGCTGCCCTGGGGGCCAAGCTACAGGGAGAGGAGAACAGACTCAGGGACAGATGGGTGGATGTGTGAGGAGTCAGGCACTGAGGAGGCGGCCTTTGGGCCTGATGGGGGGGGCGGGGGCAGGCACTTTCTGAGCCCTAGAGTTGTCATCCATTGTGGACATCCAGGGCAGCTGGACAGGGGCTGCAGGGTCAGGGGAACCCAAGTGGCAAGAGGAGGCCTGGGGCAAGCTTGGCCTTGAGTGCCAGTGGAGAACCCGTGCCAGCCTCAGGGCTACCAAGCAGGAAAGTTAGGGGGGGTGTTCCTGGCACCAAAGGCTGCTCCCCTCCCCAGTCCTTCCCAGGCATCCTTCGTCCCAGATGCCTGGTGTCTGGTGGGAGCCTTCACCAGAGGAGGTGCCCTCAGGCAGGGGCCCAGGCCACAGCACACCTGGGCCCACTTGCTAATGGGGGAGCAGGTACTAGAGTGTAGGCCATGCCAGGGCTCAGCTGGCTGACCTGCTCCGGTGCCCCATTGTGCCCCACTTTGAGGTCAAGTAGGACTGGGCAGAAGCTTCAGAAGTGGGAGCAGCAGGATGGGTGGGGCAGCGGGCAGGTGGAAGGAGCCAGGTCAGGCCTTGTCCAGCTGTCCAGCCCTTTCTGTGGCCAGTTCATCCGCCTCTCGTGGCAGGCACCCTACGGATGGCCCTCTGTGGCTCCCTGCAGAACAGGAAAGGAGCCCGGTAGGGCTCACTCGAAGCTTCTTCCTTCCGCAGCTCTGGAGGGTGAGTGAAGGACGCAGAGGTTGTTACTGGGTGTGGGGTTCCTTTAGTGCATTTCATTCATTGAAGAAACAAATGGGTCCCCCAACCTGAAGCCCACGATCCCTAGAAAAAATAACTTGCAGCTTCAGAATTGCCCTGGTCCCTTCAAGAGGAGACCCCTGGAGGTCCAAGCAATCTGGGGGGAGGGAGGGGGAGATCTCTGCCACTCGAGGCCCCTTAGGCCTGACACATGCCCCCTGCTCTGAGTGTCCTCCTTGCTCCAGCGTAACCCCACAGGACCAGGGGAGCAGGGATGCTGAATACCGGGCCTCATGGTGCCGTACGTCTGGGATGTGCATCAGACTCCAATGGGAAATGCCACCTGCTGTGGAAATGTCATTGTGGACATGGCCAGTGTACCAGGCAGCCAGGGCCCCTGTCTGTCTATAGTTTCTGCCCTTGCTGAGGCAGCCTCGGGAAATCTTCCTGAAGGGAGGCAGAGGATGAGGGGCCAGAAGAGGGGTGTTTGTGGGAAAGGGAACTGGGTACTGGTGGGTGGGGTGAGCTGGGCTCTGCGAGGGCCCTCCTCCAGCCCCAGGCCCGGGGAGTGAGGAAGGGGCCTGGGACTCTCCCCGGGCTGCGAGGCAGGAGGGGCCGCAGCCCTCGCCGGGCGGATGGGGCTCAGCACCGCGGAGAGCTCCCGCGGCCTGGCCCAGCTGCCCCCGCCTCAGGCAGGGCCTGGGGTTCCTCCTGGCGAGGGTTGTGGGTCTCTTGTCTCCGTAATGAGTGTGCCCCGTTTGGCTTGTGTCTCCTCCACACTGACCTGGACAGGATCGCAGGTCCAGCGTGTTTGTTGACCAACACGCTACATGGTCTCCCCACTACCTCCGTCATGCCCCAGGCTGCCTCCAGTCCTGGGCACCATCTTTCCATGCTCTCCTCCCCACAAAATCAATATTTTCTCTGTCTTTTGACACTTATTTTATTTTATTTTTACATGTGGCTCCCAAAGGCTGTAATTTTCAGCTAATACCAGGCAATCAGAGACAATGGCCAGGTGCCTGTGAGTGGGAGCAGGCGGGCTCCCTGCCAGGTGCCCCCTGCCCCTCCACCACCCACTCGCAGGGGTGTCCATGACTGAAGCCTCTGGGTGCAGGAGCCGCGGGAGCAGGGAGAGACGTGGGCCATAACCTCAGCTACTATCTGCAGGGTACGAAGAATGGGTCCCCAGCTGGAAAGGGCCCTGGAGAAGCCAAGGGGTGTAAGGGCTTCTGTGGGGGGCTGGTCTGAGTAGAGGGGCAGGCAGGGTGCTAAGGGGCCCCTGCTGGGCTGGCCTCAGCTGCAGCACACACACAGCCCCAACTGAGGTGCCAGGGCAATGCCCCTCTCAGCCTGCCTCTACCTCCGTCTTCCCCTCCCACCCCCCTCCTCCGCCGAGCTGTTCCCGCGTGGCTCCCGCACTGTAATCTAAGGCGCTGTTACTCTGTTTCAGTGATTTAAACCCTCTGATGGAGCCAGTGACAGCTTAAATGGCTGCCATCCCCTCTCCGAACCCCAAGGCACTGACGAGGCCCCATAGGGGGAAGAGGGGTTTGCTGAGATGGGATTCAGACAGTATTTTCCCAGCTCGAGGGTATCTGGGCTGCTGTTTTTTGCCCATCTGCAGGGGCGGGAGCTCTCTCCTCCCCCTTACTGGTGATCAAGGAGGGAAGATAAAACCCTCCATAAATTCCCTGGGAAATGGAGTGTCTGGAACACGCTCGATTCCACCTGCCTGCAGGTGAGAGGCACAGCGAAGGAGGGGGCAGGGTGCCCAGTGTCCAACCGTCTTTCTCAGAGCTTTGTAGGCCTGTGACAGTAGGGAGCCGGGCAACCCTGTGCAGCAGGCCTAACCCCCACCTCAGCGATCACCCCCTATCATGGTGATGCTCCAACCCCGGCCCTGCTCCCAGGTCCTCCTTCCTACCCTGGAGTCTCCACTCCATTCAGGTATTTGATCCCTAGTTACATCTCTGTTTAGTTGTGTTGGGTGGAGGGACATTATACAGGTGGGAGAAACTGAGGCACAAAGAGGTAGAGCTGGCCAAGGGCACTCAGCAGTCAGTGGCAATGCAAGTCCTGGCCCCCAGCCCTGCCTGGCCCTGGGTTCTGGGTGGGTAAGGGAGCATCCTGAGAGTGGACCTTGCAGCCCTCCAGGTTCCCTCCCTGGCTGCTGGCAGCAGATCCAGAGCAGAGCACTGGGGTGGGGGTAGGAACAGAGCTAAGAGGTTCTGCTGCTGGCTGGGGTCTCTTCCCACTAATCAAGAGAGCCCATGGGAGCCCAGCATTGTCTAGTTCTCTGGCTCTGGGGTCCCAGACCCTCTCAATACAGCCCCAAAAGGAATGGCCAGCCCTGTATAGCAGGGTCAAGGCTGGGTCAGGATGGGCCTCAAGTGGAGGAAGGGCACGAGGCCTCAGCTCTGCTGGTGGATGTCAGAGACAGGGCTTGGCCTTCAGGAGCCCATGCCTAATGGGGACAGATGAGGCCCTGGAAGGGCACCAGGTGATGGAGAGGAAGCAGCCCACCCAGAGACCCCTTCAGATGTTAGGAATGTCATTAAATCAGAGTCCCGAGGGGCTGGCAGGAAGGGTGTGGATTCCCTAGAAGGAAGGCCCATGGGGGGGCGGTATTCCAGACAGAGGGAACAGCACGTAAAGTAGCCCCTGAGGGAGGAGGCAGGACTTTGCCTTGATGGCAGAGGGGCAGAGGGGTGACAGTTCTAGATCAGAAGGGACAGACACAGACAGGAAGCAGCACCCCCTTCCTCCAGGAGTGGAAACTGAGGCATGGCAAGGTTAGCTGATTTGTCCAAGGTCACCAGTTGGCATGCGGTTGAGCTGTGGCTTGAGCCCAGGTCCTGTTGCTGCCACTCAGTGCCCACGCCAGCCAGGACTCGAGCTAAGCAGGGCTTGTAGCCTGCCAGCCTCTAAACCCCTGCAAATCCTTCCCGGGAGCAGGAAGTGTCAGAGGAGTAATTAAATGATTGAGTGAGCAGGCCAGCGACTGGAACAAGCACCCGGCCACACCAGGTGTCCTTCCAAATAGCCACATGTCCCCAGTTGGGGGCTCCAAGGGCCT